TCTAAGCTGATATAACCCCTTCTTTCCTGGAATTGCTTCCTGTTGGATATTTGGTTATAGCAACAAGAAAAGGAGATGATATGGATGGTTTGGACTTCTGTAGACTCCTCTTCTTCAGGGCTTCTGACATCTTGCTCATCCCTAGACTGTGCATAAGGATTTCAGAGGAGAAGAAAATTGGTCAGATGCCATTTTACCCCATCAATTTAACAGTACTCAGGCAACATGACTTCCACTGTTGTCTCCTGGGTGAGGGGGTGTTTGTCAGTGTGTCATCAACTAACATTCCTCTCTGCCCACCTACTCTCTCTTCTATGTAGTTCTCTTTGGATGAAGTTATTGGGCATAATTCATACAAAAGACTGGGATTCTATGGCCGTATCACTGAGCTAGAAAGAGCTACATGATTTATTGAGGATTCTCCCATGTGTAAAATGTATGTCTTTGCTATTTTCCCCATATTTATTTATATCAGTGTAGGCTAACATTTTATTTGGGGGATGTTATGATTGAATATTTTTATAATTTTGGTTTCCATGTCCTCTTGACAAGTACCCATTCATTTCCCACTTCTTCTTCCCCTCTTCTCTTCTCTCCCCCACACATGCATGCTTGTACTGAGGGAGAGGGAAGGGGAGAGGGAGAAGGAGGAGAGGAGTCCAGGACAAGGTACAACTCCCAAGGACATACCCCTAGTGTGCCCTTCATATATCTAAGCCCTACCTTCTAAAGCTTATAGAACCTTCACAATAGTGCCACTAGTTAGCGACCAAGAATCCAATCTCTGAGCTGTGGAGACATTTTATATTCAAACTGTAGAGTATAGGATGATAGCACATGGGTCTAACTGGTCAGTGAAGGAGCCTAGGGGAGAAGCAAAAGAGATTCTGTATCCAGCCCAGAGCATCTGGTATTTGAGGGATTTACTTTGTTGCTATAGTTTTAGATCTTCAATGTTCTCCAAAGGCCTATGTGTGAAAGGGTCCAGAAACACCCCAGAACAGTTTCCTGAGGAGATATTTAGTATTGAAGACTAAAAGTTACTTTTTTTAATTAAAAAAAAAAGAAAGGTGGTTATGGCTTATCTTTTATGTATAGCTTTATTTATTTAGTGGTGTGTGAGCATGGGTGCACACATGAGCCACAGCATCTTGGTGCAGGTTCAAGTGCAACTTGCAGGAGCTTGCTTTCTCTGTCTACCTCATGGGCCCCTGAGATCCAGCTCAGGCTGTCAGGCTTGGTGGCAGGTGCCCTCTCTGTGGAGTCATCTCACTGAC